TTCTATTTGTTCTGAATGTATATGGTAAGTGAATCCTATTGGGAATAGGAATTTCCTTTATAGCCTGCCATCTCTATCTTAGAGTAAATAAATAAATAAACAAACAAACATACCCACATTCATAAAAATATAGATATATCTTAAATTATACTAACTTAGTCAATGTTAGCCTTTCCACAAGTTAAAAAAAACAGTGGGTTTTGAACTTTAGAAGAAAATTGGTATGATTTCATTATTACTGTACTGTTGATACTTGTCACAGGGGCGGATCCAACATTTTTTAAAGGGGAGGGGGCACACAACAGTTCCAGAATAGATAAATGAGTAGCACATAACATTAATATGCATTGACATTTTTTAAATAGTGGCAAAACCACCCCTGTCTCACACTACTACACCATTCATTTGTGCACCTTCTGACACACCACATACGTAAAAATAATTTAAATTCCTATGGTGATTAACAATTACACAATTAAAGTTGCTCCCATTTACAAATATAGACCTAAATCGTAAATTTACAAATACAATTACAAAATTATATAATTTAATTACAAATATAGTTTGCTTTTTAAAAATACGAAACCCCAATCAGTGGCGGATCTGGGGGGGGGGGGGGGGTGGTGAATAGGGTGGCTAGCCACCCCCTTTGTTTACCGTGAACACAAAATAATGGTCACTCGTCTTGAGTGTGTGCTTCTCGTGCACTCTAGTAAAACATGCACTTTCTTTTTAAACATTTCAATTTGTTGCTTAAAGTTTTCTCAGGGCATTGCCGATTTAATCACCAAATTGGGGGACTTCATCCTCGCTTCGCATCGTTAAAAGCTATATTACCTATTACATTGGTAATTACACATTACAGTGGCGGATCCAGTGGGGGGGGGGTTCAGGGGGTTCGGACGAACCCCACTCTGTGAAGAAACGTAGCAAAATACTATGGGTCCTGGCTTACAAAATTCATGCTAACTTAGACGCGGATCCAGACCTTCGTGGCGTAGGTATGGACAGTGCAGTCAGTGCACAGCACTAGGGCCCGGGGTTATTGGGGGCTCGTTCAATATGTCTAATGATCTAAAAATATAACTATAAAAAAATCCTATTTAAACCTTAAAAGGACCCTTCAGTAATAATAGGTTTTAGATGCTATATATTATTGATTATATTCATTACAATTTACCTATTACCTATTTCCCAAACGCTGCAAGTTAAAAACAACAACAAAACGTATACGATGCACTACTTTTTTGTAATCACATTTCTAAAGCAATAAAATATCGACACGCACATTTGTGTTTGTGTTATTAAAGTTGATTGAACTATTATTGTCTACTTCAGATCATCATAACATCATAAATACATTTTAGATTCAATCACTGCAAGTAGGTCGATTACTGTTCTATTATTGAATGGTAAATGTTATTTTCGTGACGATAGACAATACCTGGACTTGCGTCAGGAGAATCAATTAGGGGGCCTATATGTATTTTACCCAACCTGTCGTGAAAATATATTGAATACTCAGTGCATGATTCAATATTCGTTTTTAAATCACATTTTTAAAGCAATAAAATATCGTTACGCACATTTGTATTTGTGGTATCACTGTGTCCCACTATAGCCAATTTGGCAACCACTGGACACAATGAAAAAGAATAGGATTATCTTGGAAAATATTAAACAAGATATTTATAGTTTATCACTGTGTCCCACTATAGCCAATGTAGGGCAATGAAAAAATTGTTGGATCATCACCATCATATTGATGCGGGATAAAAAAAATACCTTGCCGCATCAATTATTTTAACAGCATAACACAAACAAATTTAATCCAGTTTTCATACAATATTTATTATTACTAGCCAAATATAAACAGTCCCTCCCTCATCAAT